CAGTGAATCCCACTGTGGTTGAGAGGTGAGCTCTGGAGGCCAACAACCTGGGTCACACATGGCACTCTTGTTTCCTGGACGTGTGGCTTATGACTCATGACCTCCCTTCCATTGTCTCAGTTGCTTCCCCTGTAAAATGGGACTACCTCATAGGTAGACTAACGCCTGGCCCAGAGTGAAGGCCACTAAGGTCTAGCTAGGAACAAGGGTTTTGTTTGGTCTTCGCGTGGTCGCTGAGGTCGGCACTGCCGGCAGGAGGTGAGCGGATATGCCTCAAGGCGGTAAGTGCCCATCCTGCTACAAAACCGTGAGGCCAGGGCTGCTTCCGCCACTTACAAGGAGGAGCAGAGGGCACCCAAGTCAGGAGTGAGTTAGTGGAGAGGCCTCTGTGTTGGCCAGGAAGGGAACAGACCAGCTCAGCCTTTCTTGAGCAGCGCTGCTCCAGGTGTGACCCAAAACCAGCAGCAGCAGCACCCCGAGCTGTGAGACTGCAAATTCTCGGGCCCTTCCCCAGACCTGAAGCAGAAGCTCCATTTTGTTTTGTTTTGTTTTGTTTTTGAGACAGTCTCGCTCTGTAACCCAGGCTGGAGTGCAGTGGCATCATCTTGGCTCTTCACAACCTCCGCCTCCCGGGTTCAAGCGATTCTCCTGCCTCAGCCCCCCAAGTAGCTGGGATTACAGGTACGTGCCACCATACCCGGCTAATTTTTGTATTTTCAGTAGAGATGGGGTTTCACCATGTTGGCCAGGCTGGTCTCAAACTCCTGACCTCAGATGGTCTGCCCATCTTGGCCTCCCAAAGTGCTGGGATTACAGACGTGAGCCACTGCACCTGGCCAGAAAGCTCCATGTTTTAAGGAGCCCTGGGCTGGATGCGGTGGCTCATGCCTGTAATCCCAGTATTTTGGGAGGCCAAGGTGGGTAGAACACCTGACATCGGGAGTTTGAGACCAGCCTGACCAACATGGAGTAACCCCGTCTCTACTAAAAATATAAAATTAGCCAATCATGGTGGCACATGCCTGTAATCCCAGCTATTCTGGAGGCTGAGGCAGGAGAATCCCCTGAACCTGGGAGGTGGAGTTTGCAGTGAGTGGAGATCACGCCATTGCACTCCAGCCTGGGCAACAAGAGCGAAACTCCATCTAAAAAAAATTAAAATATAGGTTAGGCACAGTGGCTCACGCCTGTAATCCCAGCACTTTGGGAGGCTGAGGTGAGCAGATCACGAGGTTAGGAGTTCAAGGCCACTTTTGCCAACATGGTGAAACCCTGTCTCTACTAAAAATACAATAATTACCTGGGCATGGTCATGAGCACCTGTAATCCCAGCTACTCGGACCTGAGGCAGGAGAATTGTTTAACCCAGACCTGGGAGGCAGAGGTTGCAGTGAGCTGAGGTCACCATTGCACTCCAACCTAGGCTGCAGCAAGGCTCCGTCTCTAAATGGAAGGAAGGAAGGAAGGGAAGGGAAGGAAGGGAAGGAGTAACTCTGATGTTCCCTGAAGCTTGCTGAACCCTGTCCTGAAATTTTCAGGGGGAAGAGATGGGGATGGGGCAGCATATGTGGGACGGAGCGTCCCGCTGGTGGGGCTCATGGGAAGGCATGCCCCTGGATAGACAGAGTTGTCTATAGAGTAGGGTGAACATTTGCTGGCCCCTTTCCTCTCATCACTCCTCTTCTGTGTCCCCCCACCGCCTGAGCACAGTGGATACAGATGCTGTGTGGCTGCTCCAAGGCTGGCTTTTCCAGTACCAGCCCCAGTTCTGGGGGCCTGCCCAGGTCAGGGCTGTGCTGGGGTCTGCGCCCCATGGCTGCCTCCTGGTTCTGGACCTGTTTGCTGAGAGTCAGCCTGTATACATCCGCACCGCCTCCTTCCAGGGCCAGCCCTTCATCTGGTGCATGCTGCACAACTTCGGGGGCAACCATGGTCTGTTTGGAGCCCTGGAGGCCATGAACCGAGGCCCAGAAGCTGCCCGCCTCTTCCCCAACTCCACCATGGTAGGCACCGGCATGGCCCCCGAGGGCATCAGCCAGAACTAAGTGGTCTATTCCCTCATGGCTGAGCTGAGCTGGTGAAAGGACCCAGTGCCAGATTTGGTGGCCTGGGTATGGGGTCTCTCACCCGGACACAGGGGCAGCGTGGAGGCTCCTACTCAGGAGTGTCTACAATTGCTCTGGGGAGGCCTGCAGGGGCCACAATCACAGCCCGCTGGTCAGGCGGCCATCCCTACAGATGAATACCACCATCTGGTACAACCAATCTGATGTGTTTGAGGCTTGGCGGCTGCTGTTCTCAGCTGCTGCCACCCTGGCTGCCAGCCCCACCTTCCGCTACGACCTGCTGGATGTCACTCGGCAGGTGGTGCAGGAGCTGGTCAGCTTGTACTACGAGGAGGCGAGGAGCGCCTACCTGAGCAAGGAGCTGGGTTCCCTATTGAGGGCTGGAGGCATTCTGGCCTATGAGCTGCTGCCGGCGCTGGATGAGGTACTGGCTAGTGACAGCCACTTCTTGCTGGGCAGCTGGCTGGAACAGGCCAGAGCTGTGGCGGTCAGTGAGGCCGAGGCTGATTTCTATGAGCAGAACAGCCGCTATCAGCTGACCCTATGGGGGCCAGAAGGCAACATCCTGGACTACGCCAACAAGCAGCTGGCGGGGCTGGTGGCCCACTACTACGCCCCTCGCCGGCGCCTCTTCCTGGAGGCGCTGGCTGCCAGTGTGGCCCAGGGCATCCCTTTCCAACAGCACCAGTTTGACAAAAATGTCTTCCAACTGGAGCAGGCCTTTGTCCTCAGCAAGCAGAGGTATCCCAGCCAGCCGCGAGGAGACACTGTGGACCTGGCCAAGAAGATCTTCCTCAAATATTACCCCCGGTGGGTGGCTGGCTCTTGGGGATAGATTCGCCACCCCTGGGCCTTGCTTTCTGCTAACTCCAGGCCAGGGCAGGTTTCCAGGGCCTGGAGTTGGACAAGCATCACAGGGTATCCCAGGCCTGGGAGGAGGCCCCACGGCCTGCTGGTGGGGTCTGGCCTCGGGGGAATTGGAGGGAAGTGAGCTGCCCTTCACCACCACCCAAAGTGTGGGATTAAAGTACTGTTTTCTATCCACTTAAACTGATGAGTTACTGGGTCTGCCAGAATGAGGTCACTGCTGCCACGCTTGGGAGGACTCAGGGCTATAGCATGGCCCCTGGGGTGGACCTGTTCTCCCATCCTTGCCTCATGCCACCACCCCCCCTTTTTTTTGAAATAGTCTTGCTCTGTTGCCCAGGCTGGAGTACAATGGCACCATCTTGGCACAGCAATGTCTGCCTCCTGGGTTCAAGTAATTCCTGGGCCTCAGACTCCTGGGTAGCTGGGACTATAGGTATGCATCGCCACACCCGGCAAATGTTTTTTTTCTTCCCTGAGACAGAGTCTTGCTCTGTCACCCAGGCTAGAGTTCAGTGGAGCAATCTCAGCTTACTGCAACCTCTGCCTCCTGGGTTCAAGCGATTCTCCTGCCTCAACCTTCCACATAGCTGGGATTACAAGTGTCCACCACCATGCCCAGCTAATTTTTGTATTTTTTATAGAGATGGGGTTTTACCATGTTGGCCAGGATGGTCTTGAACTCCTGACCTCAAATGATCCACCTGACTCGGCCTCCCAAAGTGCTGGGATTACAAGCGTGAGCCACCATGACTAGCAGGAAAACCTTTTTTCAAACTGTGTTTTGTTTTTTCTTTGCTGTCATGCCACAACAACGGTCACCAACACAGAAGACCTATGTGATGAAATATTTGGCGGATTGTCCCCATGCACCAAGCAGTGGACATCAGCTGGGTGTCCTTCAATTCAGTTCCAATGTAATTTACCAAAGACAACGTCAGATTCCACAGAGTTAGGGCGCAGACCCATGAGACCACCCCCTCATTCCCCATCAGTCACAAGTCCTGGTCCCTGAAACTTCTGATGGAGTGGCTTCAAGTTGGAGTTTCCATGGCCCCCTTCCACTCTTTGGATTTAACTAATTTGCTACAGTGGCCCACAAAACACAGGAAAACCATTATTATGTGTACTGGTTTATTAGGGAAGAATTTTTTTTTCTTTATTTAAAAAAAAATTTTTTTTTTTTTTTTTTTGAGACAGGGTTATGCTCTGTCAACCAGAGTGAGTACAGTGGCAAGCTCTCCACTCACTACACCCTCGATTTCCCCTCCACCCCCTGGCCTCAGCACCCCACCCTCCCAGTAGCTGGGACTCCAGGCACACACCACCATGCCCAGCTAATTTTTTTGTATTTTTTGCAGAGATGTGGGTTCCCTCTGTTGCCCTGGCTGGTCTTGAACTCCTGGGCTCTAGCAGTTCCCTTGCCTCAGCCTCCAAAAGTGCTGAGATTACAGGCATGAGCCACCCAGCCTTGAAGGATATTTTAAAGTATAGAAATAAACAGCCATATGGGCTGGGTGTAGTGGCTCATGCCTATAATCCCAGCACTTTGGGAAGCCGAGTTGGGTGGATCATGAGGTCAAGAGATCAAGACCATCCTGGCCAACATGGAAACCCCGTTGCTTTTAAAAATACAAAAATTATCTGGGTGTGGTGGTGCGCGCCTGTAGTCCCAGCTACTCGGGAGGCTGAGGCAGGAGAATTGCTTGAACCCAGGAGGCTGAGGTTGCAGTGAGCTGAGATTGTACCACTGCACTCCAGCCTGGGTGACAGAGTGAGACTTCATCTCAAAAAAAAGAAAAGGAAACAGCCATATGAAGAGATGCAGACGGGGGGCCTGGAAAGGTCCACAGCTGGAGCTTCTGTCTCCATAGAGCTAGGGTTACATCACCCTCTGGGCACACAGATGAGTTCTTCACCTTCCCCTCAGCCTCCACACCTTCGGCTCCCAGAAGCTCCCCGAAGCCTGTCCTTTGGGCCTTTATGGAGAACTTCGTTGGCTTCGTGATTGAAGCATGGACAACTGTGAAAATGTGTTTGGACAAAAAGTGTCTGATCTAAGCCCAGCAAGGCCGGTCCAGATTCTTCCAGCCTTTGTGCAGCATTCCTTTCTCCATGGTGTGGGGCAAGGACCCACTCTGGAATGAGGATCCTACAACCCACATCAGATTAGAGTCCTGCCTTGGGCAGGTGAAAAGAGGACACGAGAAGGTCAGAAGAGGAGAGGCTATTTTCTGAGTCCTGAGGCGCCCCAAGATTACAGTGAAAGATTGTGACTGTGGTCATGTGAGTTATGAGCTAGGAACTGTGGACAAAACCAACATATATACAATCAACTCCAACCTCCCAATGCCTTTCCTTTCTTTTTTTTTTGAGATGGAGTTTTGCTCTTGTTACCCAGGCTGGAGTACAATGGCACGATCTTGGCTCACTGCAACCTCCGCCTCCTGGGTTCAGGCAATTCTCCTGCCTCAGCCTCCTGAGTAGCTGGGATTACAGGCGTGCGCCACTGTGCCCAGCTAATTTTTTGTATTTTTAGTAGAGACGGGGTTTCACCATGTTGACCAGGATGGTCTCGATCTCTTGACTTTGTGATTCACCCGCCTCGGCCTCCCAAAGTGCTGGGATTACAGCGTGAGCCACTGCGCCCGACCCCCGCCTTTCCTTTCACAGCCTCTGCAGCAAACTCCGGTCACTGTCATTGCTCTTGTGGCCCAGAGGCATGCCCAGGGGAATCTGCCCAGGGCGCCAGTCCGTGCCCACATGGGAACCCACACCTGCTTGTAAAGCCTTCCCTCCCTCTGAGCAGCAACCAGGACAGTTTGGTGTTCCAAGCAGTGGGCTCTTGTCTGTTTTGACTCAGAACAGGGTGGGGAGAGCAGGCCAGGGACCCGCAGGAGGGCTTATCCTTGAGATTGTGTGGGAGACACAACAAGAGGTGGGGGCCCGTGAGCGGGGTGGGGCGGAGCAGACCCATGAGACCACCCCCTCCTTTCCAGCACAGAGCCCCAGCCTCTCCCCACAGTCTCACCATGGTCCACACCGTGGTGCTCATCACCAGCTGTTCCTCCGGCATCAGCCTGCACTTGGTGAGATCGCACCAGTGCACTCCAGCCTGGCATTGGACCCATCACATAACTTCATAGGTATAGATAGGTAGGGACAGGGATGGAGGTAAGGGAGGAGCCGGCTGGGTGTGGTGGTTCACGCCTATAAGCCCAGTACATTGGGAGGCCAAAGTGGGCAGATCATGAGGTCAAGAGCTGGAGAATATTGTAGCCAACATGGTGAAATGCATTTCTACTAAAAATACTAAAATTAGCTGGGCATGGTGGTGCACACTTGTAGTCCCAACTACTTGGGAGGCAGAGGCAGGAGAATCGCTTGAACCTGGGAGGGTGGAGGTTGCAGTAAGCCGAGATCGCGCCACTGCGCTCCAGCCTGGGCAAAAAGGGTGAAACTCGGTCTCAAAAAAACAAAAGAAAACAAAAAAGGGAGGAGCCCTTGGAGGCCAGAAGAGAAGTCAGATCTTCCTCCTCTGCCCTAATCTCCGGTGTATGCCACCATGAGGGACCTAAAAACACAGGGCCAGCTGTGGGAGGCAGCCAGCGCCCAGGGGTGCCCTCAGAACTCCCTGGAGACGTTGCAGCTGGACGTAAGGGACTCAAAATCTGTGGCCGATGCCCAGGCATGCGTGACCGAGGGCCGCGTGGACATACTAGGTGAGCCTCCAGAAACACTTGGGCTCCTAGGAGCCTTCTTTACCCTGTGTTCAAACCACCAAGTCCCGAGGCCCAGGGAGCACGAGGGCACAGGCGGGGCTGAGGGTGATGCTGAGGCTGCTCCAGCCTCAGTCCCCACAGTGTGTAACGCGGGCCAGGACCTGCTGGGGCCGCTGGAGGCGCTGGGGAAGGACGCCATGGGCTCTGTGCTGGATGTGAACGTGGCAGGGAAGGTGCAGATGCTGCAGGCTTTCCTGCCAGAGATGAAGCGGTGCGGTTCGGGGCGCGTGTTGGTGACCGGGAGCATGGGAGGACTGATGGGTGAGTGGCAGGGACAGGGCCGCAGCTCCAGATTCTTCGAGTGTGGAGCTGAGCCTTAAAGGCAGGCTCCACGGGGAGGGGCAGTCAGCTTGGAGGGGCACCGTCTGCCCGGGGATGGCCCCCTGGTCGCCGAGCCTCGGGAACCTCGTCTCCTCCCACCACCAAGGTCTGCCCTTCGATGACGTTTACTGCGCCAGCAAGTTTGCGCTGGAAGGCTTATGCGAGAGTCTGGCAGTTCTGCTGCCGCCCTTTGGGGTCCAGTGAGTAAACATCCCCTTCCCCTCGCCCTGCGAACCCTCTGAACTCTGACCTAGAGACTCCAAGCACCCCGTCTTGCGGGAGCCACTCTGGGGCGATATCCCCGACCCTCCCTGCCCGGTTCACATTTGCTGTGTGCCGGCACTTGGGTTGGGCGCATGGCATGCGTTGTGCCATCTGCTGACCTGGCTGCTGAAGTGTGGGTATTGTCATGCGGAAGCGTGGGCCCAGAGAGGTTAGGTCACCGCCCCGAGGTCACACAGTGACCAGGGACTCCGCCAGAGTCAAATCCTGACACCAGGGCTCCCTCGCAGGCTCAGATGGATGTAGGAGGGCTGCTTGGGCAGGAAACCACTTTTCAAATGCTCTGGTTATTCCCAGCGCGCTTTCTGCCTCGCTTTGCGGTGCAGCGGTGCTGCTCGGCGGCGGGGTCGGGGTCCGGGCTATGAATGGGGCTGGGCACCGGACCGGGCTGGGGCCGGGGCTGGGGCTGGGGCTGGCGCCTGGCTCGCGTCCGCCCCTGCCCACTTGCCGCTCTCTGGCCGACAGCTTGAGCCTGATCAAGTGCGGCCCAGTGCACACGCCCTTCATGCAGAAGGTGTTGGGCGGCCCCGGCTGGATGCTGGACCGCACGGACACCCGGACCCGCCGCCTCTTCCACCAATTCCTCCAGCACAACAGAGAGATCTTCCGCGAGGCCGCGCAGCACCCGGAGGAGGTGGTGGAGGTGAGCGCAGGGCCGGACTCCGGGAACCGGGACGGTGCGTCCTCCCGTGTGCAGCCAGGGCCAGAGCTCCCTTCCCGCCGCCTCAGGTCTTCCTCACCGCTCTGCGCGCCCAGAAGCCTTCATACCGAGCGCTTCCTGCCTCTGCAGCAGATGAGCCTGGACGACCCCAGCAGCACCAGTTACGTCGCCGCCATGCACCGCAATGTGTTCCCCAAAGAGCCCGCAGAGACCGAGGCCAGGGCCGGGGCCGGTGGGGTGGGGGACCATGAGCTCGGCGATCCTCTGGCCGCCCCGCAGTAGAGGCTCCCTCAGCCGCTGTCTTGCGCCCTCCTTTGGGCATGGTGGTGCATGCCTGTAATCCCAGCTACTCAGGAGGCTGAGGGAGGAGAATGTTCTTGATCTCCTGACCTCTTGATCCGCCTGCCTCGGCCTCCCAGAGTGCTGGGATTACAGGCATGAGGCACTGTGCCTGGCCTATTTTATTTTATTTTATTTTATTTTAGAAGGAGTCTTGTTCTGTGACCCAAGCTGGAGTGCAGTGGTGTGATCTCAACTCACTGCAATCCCCGCCTCCCTGGTTCAAGCAATTCTGTCTCAGCCTCCCAAGTAGCTGGGATTACAGGCATGTGCCACCACGCTCAGCTAATTTTTGTATTTTCAGTATAGACGGGGTTTCTCCGTGTTGACCAGGGTGGTCTCGATGTCCTTACCTGATCTGTCCACTTCAGCCCCCCAAAGCGCTGGGGTTACAGGTGTGAACCACTGTACCTAGCCTCTACTTTTATTTTTTAGAGATAGGGTCTCACTCTGTTGCCCAGGCTGGTCTTGAACCCCTGCACTCAAGTGATTCTCCTGTCTCACTTCCCAAAGTGCTAGGATTACAAGTATGAGCACTCCTGGCCTAAAATGCAGTCTCGAGTCTCAATCACCACAGAGTTAAAGATGGGTAATGTTGGCGAGCCATGTGGCAATAACGGCATCAAAAATACAGTTTTTATTTATTTATTCAGTTTCTATTTCTTGTAGTGTTTGTGGCTCTTTGCATTGACATGCTGTTGTATTAACTGTATTTCTCTATGCTTGTTATATATTCCGTGGCTTTTCTGGGACCCTTTCTTTGCTTGCCACCTAGTGGTAACAAATAGGAGTCATCAGAAGTCACCAATGAAGGAACTTCATAGGAGGAAGGACAGAAAACATCCAGTTTGTGTTTGTGGCTGATCATATTTTCTGTATATTTTTGCTGTATGAATGAATTTGCCTTGCTCTCGCTTTTTTCGTTTTGAAATACTGTTTTTGCATTTATTTGTAAGCAATACGTTTTAGAACCTGCAAGTTCTTAGTCTTCCTCTTAAATTGGCAGCTTATTTATTTTGCTGGAAAATGGTTAGGTGTACCTAATTTCCTTATGTAATGAGAGGTGCTTTCAGACCACAGTGAATTGCATGAGGTAGTGTATGAAGTCTTCCTGATTCCATAGAGCTTACATTCTGGATTCTCTGTATTGACTCCTAGTTTCTTTTACATGTTTTTGGTTTGTTACACATGTTAGTTTTGATGATTATGAAATTATTTTTGTTAATTTTTTTTCCAGTAGCTTGACAAAAAAACCTACTTTGAAAGGATATGTTAACAAAACTTCAGACTTCTAAGGTCTGACTTTCCTTTTCCCATCTAGAAGTGGTGGAGTCAGTGAAGAAGGTAGCAGGGATGGATGTGAAGGGACATCACAACTGTCCAGCAGGGACAGTTGAAGAAAGAAACCTCCTATCTGTTGCATATAAGAATATGACTGGAGCCAGAAGAGCCTCCTTGAGAATAATCAGCAGCATTGAACAGAAAGAAGAAAACAAGGGAGGAGAAGACAAGCTAACAATGATTCGGGAGTGTCGGCAAATGGTGCGATTGTTGTGCAGTGAGGGCTACCCGTGGTACCGCACACTAAGAGTGACAGTACAGGAGGCTGTTTATATCACTTGTACTACAGTGTGTTATAACGGCTCTGTTACTAATCTTTGTGCCTAGTTTATAAACTCAGCTTTCCCATGGGTATGTATGTAGAGGACAAAACATCGTATGTATCAGGTTTGCTATTATCCATGGCTTCAGTACACCCACTGGTGGGTCTGAGAATAAATTCATCTCGGATAAGGGGGAACTATTGTATTTTCAAGTGAAATGATGAGTGTTGGGTTAATTTATCTCATTTCTCTTTTTTTTTTTTTTTTTTGAGACAGTGTCACCCTTGTTGCCCAGGCTGGAGTGCAATGGCGCAGTCTCAGCTCACTGCAACCTCTGCCTCCAGGGTTCAGGTAATTCTCCTGCCTCAGCCTCCCGAGTACCTGTGGCTACAGGCATGCACCACCATGCCCAGCTACTTTTTTTTGTTTGTTTGTTTCGAGTAGAGATGGGGTTTTACCGTTGGTCAGGCTGGTCTCAAACACCTGACCTCAGGTGATCTACCTGCCTCCGCCTCCCAGAGTGCTGGGATTACAGGCGTGAGCCACCGCTCCCAGCATAATTCCTGTTTTTATTGAAAGACTCAGTTTTTATATCCAGTCTTATAGTTTTTAATCTTCAGTGTCTATACAACAAATTATTTTGAGGGAGGGGATGGTAGTTATTGTGAATATGTCCTAATTTTTGCTTTTAATTCCTATAGTTTTAGAAAATGTCTCCAAGGAAACGGGGCTTGTTTCCTTTGAGTGTCTGGCTGAGATCTCAGGCTTGGACCTGTCAGTTACTTGGCTGTGGTCATCGCCATTTTAGGTCATGGCCTTGTGCACACGATTACATTGTAGTAGACATTTTATATCTTAGTGGATTTTTGTCTTATATGGATTTGGCTACAGAATATTTCAGAGCAGAGGTGAACAACTTTTTCTCCTGGAGGCTTCAGAGGGTAGTGTTCAGTTTTGAGCACTGCACAGACAACAGATTTAATTTTTGTTCTGGTAACTAAAACTCTTCATTTACTACCAGAAATGATGCTTCATTATAATTTCAGTGTTTGTGTTCCGCTTGTGTGCCACAGAATTTGCCTACGTAGTGTGGGTACAAAGATGAAATACGTAATTATTATTCTCATAGAGGCTGAGGTGTTTTTTTTTTTTTGAGACGGAGTTTTGCTCTTGTTACCCAGGCTGGAGTGCAATGGTGCGATCTCGGCTCACCGCAACTTCCGCCTCCTGGGTTCAAGCAATTCTCCTGCCTCAGCCTCCTGAGTAGCTGGGATTACAGGCACCCGCCACCATGCCCAGCTAATTTTTTGTATTTTCAGTAGAGACGGGGTTTCACCATGTTGACCAGGATGGTCTCGATCTCTTGACTTCGTGATCCACCCGCCTCAGCTTCCCAAAAGTGTTGGGATTACAGATGTAAGCCACTGCGCCTGGCCTTTTTTTTTTTTTTTTGAAAGGGACTTTCATTCTTGTTGTACAGGCTGGAGGGCAATGGTGTGATCTCTGCTCACCGCAACCTTCATCTCACGGGTTCAAATGATTCTCCTACCTCAGCCTCCTGAGTACCTGGGATTACAGCTGCAGTGAGCTTTGATCGGGCCACGGCACTTCAAAGTAGGTGACAGAGCAAGAGCCTATTTCAAAAAAACAAAACCAAAAACAATGAAAAAAGTTTTGATCTTAGCAGATTACAAATGCTGCCTTCTCTTCTTTGGCTAGATGATCACTGCCAATGTCCTTTCCAAGGAAGAGTTTCCAGACTTCAATGAAGAGACTGGCATTCTCCCTAAGGTGGATGATGAAGAAGGTAACTAGTCAATTGGATTGAGAAAGATAATTGGTAAGTTGAGCCATTGTATTTTGTGATTTGCTTGTAGCTTAGTGGCTATTAATCATTTGTTCTTTGGGTCTCACTACTCATCTCTCAAAAAAAAAAAAAAGATCTCACCACAATAGAAGCAAGAAATTCATTTTTCTAACAAATACTTATATATTATTATATTTGTTGCTTATACTAAGCTCTCAGGGCCAGGCACGGTGGCTCACGCCTGTACTCTCAGCACATTGGGAGGCCGAGGCGGGCAGATCACCTGAGGTCAGGAGTTTGAAACCAGTCTGGCCAACATGCTGAAACCCTGTCTCTACTAAAAATACAAAAATTAGCTGGACGTGGTGCTGGATGCCTGTAATCCCAGCTACTCAGAAGGCTGAGGCAGGAGAATTGCTTGAACCTGGGAGATGGAGGTTGCAGTGAGCCGAGATCGCACCACTGCACTCCAACCTGGGTGACAGAGCGAGACTCTGTCTCAAAACAAAAACAAACAAAATGCTTTCAGGATATAAAAAGTTAAAATTGTATTTTTGAGAGTAAATTTGATCTCATATTCTTAGTAATTATTCTGAAAACCCTGCATTCACCTAGGTAACCTCTGACTTGCCCTGGTAACAACTTTTAACTCAGCCCATAATGACTTTTTTGAAATTGTGAAATCTTACAATAGAATTCTGTAATTTATATTATAATAGTGAGCACCTATGAACCCATCACCAGCTTAAGAAGTAGAATTTTGGAAGCACCTCTGAAGCCCCTCCATGCTCCCGTCTGCTTAGATCTTCTTTCTCCCTCCTCGGAGTGACCACCATTCCAAATTTGTGTTAATCGCTCCCTTGCTTTTCTTTAGAGTTTAACCATCTACGTATCTATCCCTAAACATTATGTTGTGTGGTCTATTTTTGAACTTAACTCATATTTCTTTTTTTTGACATATATTTTTGATATTTATCTGTTATTGGTATTTCACTCATTTCCATTGTTACAGAGTGTTTTTATACATAAATTATCTATAATTTATCCATTTTACTTTTGGTAGACATATGGGTTGTTTCTTGTTTTTTTTTTTTTTGTTAATCTTTGTGAATAATAGTATTTTGAAATTGGTATATTGTCTCTTAGTGCTTATGTGCAAAATGTCCTTTTTTTGCGAAATACGTAGAATTCTGGCAAGGCCAAGTGTCATGGCTCACTCCTGTAATCCTAGCACTTTGGGAAGCTGAGATGACAGGATTGCTTGAGCCTAGAAGTTTGAGACCAGCCCTGGCAACATAGCTAGGCCCTATCTTTACAAAAATAATAATAATAAAACATTAGCCAGGTGTAGTGATATGTGCCTGTACTCCCAGCTACTAGAGAGGCTGAAGAGAGAGGATTGCTTGAGCCTGGAAGGTCAAAGGCACAGTGAGCTATTATGCCACTGTGCTGTAGCCTGGGCAACAGAGCAAAACCCTGTCTTTTTTTTTTTTTTTTTTTTTTAATTACTGGGTAGTAAGAAATGTGTGTGTTTGCTGGGCAGTTCCAAATTGTTTGCTATTGGTTTCTGTACCATTTATACTTTTGCTGTAAACTTAAGCAAATTCCATTTGGTGTTGTTCAATTGTCCAACTAATTTTTTGCAAATTTATTATGGGTTAAGGATTATTCCATAATGAAGTTGAATGGCAAATGCCTTGGTACCATTTAGAATGTCAGGAGAGCATTTTATCACAGGCTTAACTTCTTTTGAAAGTAGGTCTGGGCTGGGTGCAGTGGTTTACACCTGTAATCCCAGCACTTTGGGAGGCCAAGGTGGGTGAATCACCTGAGGTCGGGAGTTCAAGACCAGCCTGACCAACATGGAGAAACCCTGTCTCTACTAAAAAAAAAATACAAAATTAGCCAAGCATGGTAGCACATGCCTGTAATCCCAGCTACTTGAGGGCTGAAGCAGAAGAATTGCTTGAATTCAGGAGGCAGAGGTTGTGGTGAGCCAAGATCGCTCTATTGCACTCCAGCCTGGGCAACAAGTGTGAATCTCTGTCTCAAAAAAAAAAGAAAAAGAAAAAGAAAGAAAGAAAGTAGGGATGATCAATTCTTGGCCTGGAGCACAAATGCCCTAGAAATGGCTGGTGGTGGGGGGAATAGTCACTTGGGTTGGAGTTTTACTTGCATTGCTGTTTTTTTGGACCCAGGAAGCTTTCTTTTTGAGATGGAGTTTTATTCTTGTTGCCCAGGTTAGAGTACAGTGGCGCGGTCTTGGCTCACTGCAACCTCTGCCTCCTGGATTCAAGTGATCCTCCTGCCTCAGCCTCCTGAGTAGCTGGGATTGCGGGCACCCGCCACCATGCCCGGCTAATTTTTTTGTATTTTTAGTAGAGATGGGGTTTCACCATGTTGGCCAGGCTGGTCTGGAACTCCTGACTTCAGGTTATCCACCCGCCTTGGCCTCCCAAAGTGCTGGGATTACAGGTAAGAGCCACCACGCCCAGCATTTTTGTTTGTTTTTGAGATGGAGTCTTGCTCTGTCATCCAGGTTGGAATGCAGTGGCGTGATCTAGGCTCACTGCAACCTCCGCCTCCCAGGTTCAAGTGATTCTCCTGCCTCAACCTCCTGAGTAGCTGTGATTACAGACACATGTCACCATGCTCGGCTTATTTTTATATTTTTAGTAGAGACAGGTTTCACCATGTTGGTCTGGCTGGTCTCGAATCCTGACCTCGTGATCCATCCTCCTTGGCCTCCCAAAGTGCTGGGATTACAGGCGTGAGCCATGGCACCCAGACTTTTTTTTTTTTTTAAGACAGAGTCTCACTCTGTTACCCAGGCTGGAGTGCAGTGGCTTGATCTCAGCTCAGTGCAACCTCTGCCTCCCAGGTTCAAGCTATTCTCCCGCCTCAGCCTCCTGGGACTATAGGTGCCTGCTCCCAAGCCTGGATAATTTCTGGATTTTTAGTAGATACGGGGTTTCACTATGTTGGCCAGGCTGGTCTCAAACTTTTGACCTCAAGTGATCTTCCTGCCTTGGCCTCCCAAAGTGCTGAGATTGCAGGCATGAGCCATTGTGCCCCACGAGGGGAAGCTATTACTGATAAAGATTGCTGGTGCCTATGGAAATTAATTGTTTTGATGAAAATTGTTATTCCCTCTTCTTTATGACTAATTCTTCTTTTGGGGAACTTTTAGATGAGGACCTTGAGATTGAATTGGTTGAAGAAGAGCCTCCATTCCTGAGAGGGCACACTAAGCAAAGCATGGACATCAGCCCATTAAAATCGTCAAGGTGAGAATTGCTGGACTTTTAACCTGGAAATGTCAAGTGGACTGCTTTTTCTAAAGTAACAGGTTAGGTTATTAGATCTGTGTAAGTAGAACTTGGGCCACAGAAAGTCTTATTGGCTATCAGCCAGGGTCTAGAATAGTTTTGTTTTAAATCGAGGTTGGGTTGGCTTTATTGCTTTTGCCTGTTTAATTATTTTGTGCTCCTATGTGTGTTTGGGGTGGAAGCAGAGATAGACAGAATGCTTAATCTACCATCCTTGCCTTTGCCTGGGTTCCTTAGGGCTTGAATGTTACAGATTGAAAGGCAATTTTGAAGGATTTACCTTGAGCGGTTGGGCATGGCCACCATAGAAAGCTGTAGCATTGGGTGTTGGGGAGGGCAGAGCTGCGAGGGGAATGTGAACTCGAATCCATAGAACAGTAAAAATTTTAGATATGAAAAAGGGTATATTAAAGGTCTCCAGGCCCACATATATGTAATGCTTATAATCCATGCATATAATTCTTCTGCAGTGTTCTTCTTACGTGGTCATCTCATAGCTTCATGACATTGTTAGTGACAGGGAATTCACCAGCCCTTCAGGAGGTACATTTCATCATTAGATGGATCTGATCACTAGTTCTTCTTTAGGCTAACCCAAAACCTTGCTCACTAAAGCGTCCACATTGGTCTTGATTTTGGATCCCGGGGTCATATAGGAAAATTCTGATCCCTTTCTTATGTCCTTCATACATTTAAAGGTAGCACATCATTCCTATCTCATCTTGAAACTAAACATCCAATTCCTTCAATGATTTATCATTGTCCTTGTTCATTTTGTCTGAATATGCTACAGTTTATCCATTTCTTTCATATAGTCTGTTACATTGGTAGGAACTTTATTCCAGGTGTGGTCTCATGTTTTAGGTTACAGGGGCTTAACATCTACATTTTTATTTCTTGGACATTTAATTCATGTTGATTTTTCTTCTGTTGTATCAGAACCCAGATGGCTCCCTCTCCCAAGCAGCAATGATGCAAAGTGCCTTGGCCAAAGAAAGGTGGGAACTCAAGCAGGCCCAGCGGGAAGCTGAGATGGATTCTATTCCCATGGGGCTCAACAAACACTGGGTTGACCCTCTGCCTGATGGTAGGACCCTTGGAGGGGTGTATGGACCTTGTTTAAAAATATGAGCCTTCCAGAACACAGGGAGGGGGCACTCCCAGCACACACTAAAAATTCACCCTTGGGCCAGCATAGTGGCTCATGCCTGTAATCCCAGCACTTTGAGGGGCCAAGACGGGTGGATCACCTGAGGTCAGGAGTTTGAGACCAGCCTGGCCAACATGGTGAAACCCCATCTCTAGTAAAAAACAAACAAACAAAAATTAGCTGGGTGTGGTGGCACACACTTGTAATCCCAGCTACTGGGGAGGCTGAGGCAGGAGAATTGCTTGAACCCAGCAGGCAGAGGTTGCATGAGCCAAAATCAGGCCACTGCACTCCAGCCTGGTGATAGAATGAGACTCTGTCTCTAAAATAATTTACCGTTAAATTTTCACTTCGCTTACAGCATGTCTGGTTATTTTCTTAAACACGTGTTTAAAACAAAAAAAAATTTATTTTATTTAATTAATTTATTTTTTTGAGACAGAGTCTCACTCTATCACCAGGCTGGAGTGCAGTGGCGCGATCTTGGCTCACTGCAACCTCCACCTCCCAGATTTAAGTGCCATGACCAGAGTTGCATTTCCAAAGGGTGATCCAGAGTGCCCTGCAGAATGAGTTGGATGGGGCACATGTGATGATTTAGGAAGCTTTTATAATAATTCAGAAGAGAGAGGGTGGTGGCTTGAACATGGAGGTAGCAAAGAGGAGGGATGTACTTGAGAAAAGTGATTTGTTGAATGCAGAGTAACAGGAGTGGCCAAAGAGGACTTCCAGCTTTCCGATATGAGCACTAGGATGAATGATGGGAACACCAGAGGAGAAACGGGTTTGTGGGAAAAGATGGGGAATTCAGGTTTGGACTTGCATCCGAGGTAACTAGAGGACGTCTTAGGTTGAGTTATCCAGTGTAGAATTGAGTATAAGAGCTCAGAAGAAAGGTCTGGGCTGGAGACAGAAGTTTGAGAATTCTGTTAATTTAGATAACAGTTTGGCTGCATGTAATAGAGATTCAAAATACTAGATTAGGCTTGGCATGTTGGCTCACACCTGTAATCTCAACACTTTGGGAGGCTAAGGCAGGAAAATCGCTTGAGACCAGGGGTTCAAGACCAGTCTGGGCAACATGGTATGACCTTGTCTCTATTTTATTCTTTGAGATGGATGGAGTCTCACTGTGTTGCCCCAGCTGGAGTGCAATGGTGTGATTTTGGCTCACTGCAACCTCTGCCTCCTGGGTTCAAATGATTCTCCTGTCCTAGCCTCTGAGTAGCTAGGATTGCAGACATGCGCCACTATGCCTGGCTAATTTTTTCATATTTTTAGTAGAGACAGGGTTTCACCTTGTTGGTCAGGCTGGTCTTGAACTCCTGACCTCAAATGATCCTCCCATCTCAGCATCCCAGTGTTGGGATTACAGGTGAGCCACCGTGCCCGGCCCTTGTCTCTATTTTAAAATAAAATTTTTAAAAAATGACAAAATAAAAAAATACTAGATTAGAAATATTCATTCATTATTTAACAATATCATCTTCCGTTTCCTCAGAATAAACCCCATTCATTCCCTTTTGCCCTTTAGTGAGATGTTCTCTGTGACCCTTCTTTGGCCTCTGCCAAAGCTCACTTATTTTGTTAGTAGGCATAAGTTATTTTTTCATAGCTGGCTTTTGGCATCAAATTTGTAAAATGTTTGCATATTCTAGAGCACCAGTAAAATTCTCTCATTATTTTTGCTCCTCACTCAAGCCACAATTCCAAGGCGAACCTTAAAAATATAAGCTAGGTCCGGGTGCGGTGGCTCAAACCTGTAATCCCAACACTTTGGGAGGCTGAGGCAAGCAGATCGCTTGAATCCAGGAATTTGAAACCAGGCTGGGCAATATGGTGAAGCCCTGTCTCTGCAAAAAATACAAAAATTAGGCCCAGTGTGGTGGCTCATGTCTGTAATCCCAGAAGTTTTGGAGGCTGAGGCAGGTGGATCATCTGAGGTCAGGAGTTCAAGACCAACCTGACCAACACGGTGAAACCACCTCTCTACTAAAAATACAAAATTAACAGATGTGGTGGCATGCACCTGTAATCCCAGCTACTAGGGAGACTGAGGCAGGAGAATCACTTGAACCCGGAAGGTGGAGGTTGCAGTGAGCTGAGATCACGCCATTGCACTCCAGCCTGGGCAACAAGAGCGAAACTCCATCTCAAAAAAAAAAAATAAATTAGCTGGGTGTGGTGGCATGCACCTGTAGTCCCAGCTACTGGAGAGGCTAAGGTAGGAGGATGGCTTGAGCCCAGAAGGTGGAGGTTGCAGTGAGCTGAGATCATGTCACTGCACTTCAGCCTGCTGGGCATCAGAGCCAGACCCTGTCTCAAAAAAAAAAAAATTAATCTGAGAGAAGCCAGACACAACAGATCACATATTGTGTGAAATACCCAGAATAGGTAAACCCATAGATATAGAAAGTAGACTAGTAGTTGCTAAGGGGAAGGAAAGGGAGAAATGGGGAGTAACTGCTAATCAGTACAGGGTTTCTTTTTGAGATGATGAAAATGTTCTAGAATTAGATAATGGGGTTGGCTGCACAACTTTATAAATATACAGTAAAACACGGAGTTAGACACTTAAAAAGAGTGACATGGAAGCCAGGTGTGGTGGCCCACATTTGTAATCCCAGTACTTTGGGAGGCCAAGGAGAGAGGATTCCTTGAGCCCAGGAATTTGAGGCTGCAGTGAGCTATGATTGCACCACTGCACTCCAGCCTGCGCAAGAGAGTCTCCAAAAAGAAAAAAGAAGAGTGTGACATAGCATGTGAATTACATCTCACTATAGCACTTATTTAAAAGGCAGAGAGTGCTGGGCATGGTGGCCATGCCTGTAATTCCATTACTTTGGGTGGCTGAGGTGGGTGGATTGCTTGCTCCCAGGAATTTGAGACCAGCCTGGCAACATAGAGAGATCTCCTCTCTTCAAAATTTAAAAATGAGGCAGAAGGACTACTTAAAACCAGGAGGTCAAGGCTGCAGTGAGCCAGGATTATGCCACTGCACTCCCAGTTGGATGACGGAACAAGGCACCCAAAAGGATATATATGCGCCAGGGAGTGATGTGGTAGACCAGGCAGGGACAATTCCTGGTAAAGTTGTTACTATTTTATGATGATGTTAATTATTATTTTATATATATATTTTTGAGACGGAGTCTTGCTCTGTTGCCCAGGCTGGAGTGCAGTGGTGTGATCTTGGCTCACTGCAACCTCCGCCTCCTGGGTTCAAGCGATTCTCCTGTCTTAGCCTCCCAAGTAGCTGGGACTACATGCATATGCCACCATGCCCAGCTAATTTTTGTATTTTTAGTAGAGACGGACAGGGTTTTACCATATTGGCCAGGCTGGTCTAGAACTATTGACCTCAGGTGATCTACCCACTTCAGCCTCCCAAAGTGCTGGAATTACAGGCATGAGTCACTGTGCCCAGCTGATTATTATTATTTTAGAGACAGGTTGCTCTATCGCCCAGGCTGGAGTGCTCATTGCTCACTGAAGCCTCGAATTCCTGGTCTCATGTGATGCTCCTGCCTTAGCCTTCTGAGTAACTATAACTTCAGGTGCATGCCATCACACCTGGCTCGTTTTTTTTCTTGTTTGTGTAACTTTTTGTAGAGACAGCATCTCATCCTTTTGCCCAGGCTGATCTTAAACTCCTGGGCTTAAGCAATCCACCTGTCTTTGCTTCCCAAAGAGCTGGGATTACAGGCATGAGCCACTGTACCCTACCTTACTGTTTTAAATTTTATTCCACTAACTGTAAAGATAATTCCTCAAAACCTCCTATCCTCTTGCACCTACTGCCAAGGAGAGTAAGAACCAACAGAGTAGGCATTACTCATGACCAGCGTTATTAAGTCATTTCAGCCCTGTTGGGTGTGTATCGTGCCTGAGCCCCAGTCGAGCAATTATTATTAAAGATGGTTCTTTTGGCCAGCCTTGTGACTCACACCTGTAATCCCAGCACTTTGGAAGGCGGATCACCTGAGGTCAGGAGTTCAAGATCAGCTTGGCCTACGCAGTTAAGCCCTATCTCCACTAAAAATACCAAAATTAGCTGGGCGTAGTGGCAGGTGCCTGTAATCCAGCTACTCAGGAGGCTGAGACAGGAGAATCACTTGAACCCGGGAGGTGGAGGTTGTGATAAACCAAAACCACGCCATTGCATTCCAGCCTGGGCAACAAGGATGAAACTCCATTTCAAAAAACAAACAAAAAAAAGATGGCCCTCCTATGTTCTCAATAGGTGGTGGTCTCGGGTCTGAAACTTGTTAGGATTTTAAAACCAAAAAATCGAAAGCTCATTTGACATCACTGGATACAAATAAGAAGGGATTATTCGGTATGAATAATAAAAATAGCTAAACAAACATACATTATTTATGTATCCACAAAAGCACATCTGGGCCAACTCTTCTTCTGAAACTAGGGTGTAAAAATAATGTTCCCGGCCCAGTGTGGTGGCTCACGCCTGTAATTCCAACATTTTGGGAGGCCAGGCGGGTGGATCACCTGAGGTCAGGAGCTTGAGATCAGCCTGCCCAACATGATGAAACCCCATCTCTACTAAAAATACAAGAATTAACCTGGCGCGGTGGTATGTGAGTCTGTAGTCCCTGTTACTCGAGAGGCTGAGGCAGGAGAATCACTTGAACCCGGAAGGCAGAGGTTGAGGTGAGCTGAGATTGCGCCACTGCACTCCAGCCTGGGTGACAGAGTGAGATTCCATTTCAAAAAAGAATGCTCTCAACAAGGACAGTTTTATCTGCTAGGAGGAAGGAAGTTGTCACAGAACCTCCTTTTCTTAATTGTTTTGTATGCCATATACACAGCCCTATTTAATGTGCGACGAGTACCAACTCTGTAGTAAAAATCATCTTTGTCTTTAAGAAATCTAACACCTCTAAATTTAGTACCCCCTTCAATTTCTTACCTTAACT